AAAGAACAGGAAGCTCCTGTTTGTATTGTATTGTGTAAATGTGGTGTACCTCTACATGTTTGTTAATTTAAAAAAGTGGCACAAAAAAAGCCCTTAAAGCAACTTTAAAGAGGTTACTTGCAACTCTCTTCAATGTAGATACAATTATAAAGCAAAGCAGTCTCTTTTAATTTAACAAAAAGTTGGATACAGAATTAAAATACATACATACTAATGTATACAGACATACATACTAAACAATCAGACACAAACAAACACATGATAGATAGATAGATAGATAGATAGATAGATAGATAGATAGATAGATAGATAGATAGATAGATAATTGTGTGTGTGTGTGTGTGTGTGTGTGTGTGTGTGTGTACATACATATATACATACATACATACATTCCAAAAAATACGAGTTTCAAGTGTAGTTATAAAAGTAGAGACAGATTGCAACTTAAAATATATTTAATTTAAAAGCTAACTGGGTAATACATTTTAAGTTCCGGATGTATATGTCCGAAGACATCTCCGTGGTCATGTGGCCGGCATGACTAAATGCTTAAGGGACACGGAACCTTCCCAGCAAAGGTGGTCCCTATTTTTCTACTTGCATTTTTACGTGCTTTTCGAATATATATAAATCTCACCCTAAATGAGCCACAGAACACATAAATACATCAAAATAACAATTCCACCAATAAACATATTGCTAAATATTTCTGTAATTAGATTATTTATAGAGAAATCCACATGATTGATGTATATTTATATCAGTTGCCAAACTATCACTTTCACAAAACAGTAGCTTAATTCTCTGTGAAAACCATTTATGTGCATACAGAAAGGCTCCATCTAACCCTCCCCTGAAAGGTTGCCATTGGATTAGCTTCCAAATAGCAAATCAAAACACCCGCAGCCACAGGATGGTCCCTATATTAGATTACGGGGAACCAAATTGAGATTTTTCTACATCTCTCATGAGGTTCTAGGCAGCACATGAGATGAACTTGTAGCAAGTCCAAATCTGATCTCTGATAGCCCTCAATACTTCATTAAACATGAAGAAGCCATTGATTTCTCTGCATCAGAGAAAACCTCATCAGGCAGAAGTTAGCTTTTCTCATGATGCTGATTAATGATCCCAGTTCCTGAAAAATTAAGCATGTAATGTGGTCAATGCCCAGCTGTGCTCAACTTAGTTGATTTTAGGTTAGTAGATCCTCATTGGCGAGGATCAGTATCAATATTTAGAGGGTTTTTTTTCCTTTTTTCAGTAGCATAAGGATATATAATGCTAAATTATTCTGAACTTCTTATTTTAAATCTTTCCAAGAACTGAACTCATTAATGTCACTTAAATCAAGTTTCAGAACTGTGATTTAACACAGCCCTCTGTGTAGTAATATCGCAGGGATGGGCTGGTGGGGGTCCGCAGGAGTTCGGGAGAACCTCTAGCTAAGATTCTGTGCAGTTGGGAGAACCCCCCAAATCCAACTCCTGGCTGTCCCCACCCACCTGACCCCACCCCTCCCAGGAGTCCCCACACAACCCAATTTGGATGCAGGCAAGTGCAGGGCACAGGGAGGGCAAAAAATGAGCCTACCAGAAGTTCAGGATCTACCAGAAGTTCCGGGCCCTTTATGGCCGCCAGAGGGCCTCCAGAGCATGCGGAGGCCGTTTTGCTCTCCCGGAGGCTCAAGGAAAACCAGGCTAACTAGGCCACACCCACCGGTGTGAAATTTTTGAAACCTACACCTGGATATGTACCATCACAAGTCCTCTTGATGCAGAAAGAAGCATGAATAATTGGTGCAAAGACACTTCAGTACCTTCATGCTCATTCTCATCCAGGGACCACTGAGTGGCTTGGAGGCATTTCGCTGACTTCATACCATACATTGACAGTGTCCCACCACATCCCTATGTACTGTGTTGCATGAATCCAACCCATGTTCACAGTTTACAGTTCAGGACGTTATGCAAATCCCCAAATATCCCAGAGGTGGTTTTTTTTTCAAGAGGCAACTGGACTTTCCGGTTTTTCTTTGAAGACATTTCGCTTCTCATCCAAGATACTTCTTCAGCTCTGACTGGATGGTAGGGAATGGAAGCATTTATAAACCCCCAAACAATTTAATTCAACCAATCATGCTTGTGGGAACTCAACTTTTAAGAATACTTTTAACCACAACCATCCTCTGAATAGTTGGACCATTCATTTCATAACATTTTCCTTTGCATCAGTGTCTGTGTGTGTGTGTTTAAGTCACGCAACTCTTTAAGGCATACTATGTTCTGTGCCCAGATCTGTTAGGTTTTCTCCTTGGGGTAACTGTTACTTGATGAAAACTCATCACGGCAAACACATAGAACTGGTTTCATTAACTTACCCTTTGTTGCATACATTTGCAATTTTTCCCATGACAATTTTTTTAAAGCAAAAATTTTTCTATTCATGCAATTCATAGTATTTACTTCTCTATCATTCTTTTCTCATCTCATTTTGTTCAAAGGTTGTAGAGGGAATCTAAAAGCAACTTTTGAAGACTAAGAGATTATATTGCAAGGACAGTTTTGTGCCTTGAAAGGGATCCAGGAAATGTAACTACCCTAGATTTGATTAGAAACAATTTCTACTGAATCCAAGCCATCACTGGATTTTTTCTGATTAACATGATCTATTTCTTCAAATTCAAGAGTATCACTTTATTTTCCTATAGAAAGATAGAGATATGGTTATCCCAATTTATAATTTCTTTGCTTTGCAAAGTGGAAATTTATTTTCCCTTAGCTGAATTATAACATTCTTCTACCTGTTCGGTAAAGCAAGGTGGACTTTGGTAAAGGGACGCGGTGGCTCAGTGCCTAACGCTGTGAGCTTGTTGATCAGAAAGGTTGGCAGTTTGGCAGTCGAATCCCTAGCGCCGCGCAACAGAGTGAACTCCCATTACTTGTCCCAGATTCTGCCAACCTAGCAGTTCGAAAGCATGTAAAAATGCAAGTAGAAAAATAGGGACCACCTTTGGTGGGAAGGTCCTTGTGCCTTTGGTGTTTAGTCATGCCAGCCACATGACCACAGAGACGTCTTTGGACAGCGCTGGCTCTTTGGCTTTGAAATTGAGATGAGCACTGCCCCCTAGAGTCGGGAACGACTAGCACATATGTGCGAGGGGAACCTTTACCTTTAAAGCAGGGTAGCTTTGGAATTGACAGGATATTACTGTATTTTAGATCTTGAAATTCTGCAACTCTTTCTCTTGTATTCCATCTGTCTTACATTCTTGAAGAGATTTTGTTGAAATGATAATGCTGAACCTCTAATCAGCTTCGATAGAAAACAGAGCTAGTAATTGCTTAAGGTGAAGCAGGAAGAAAGAGAATAGATAAAACAAAAGTATTTACATTCTGAATGGCAAAAATGACATTTTTATTTATAGGCATCCTACCCCCATACAGCAATGGTGTGTTGATACTCTTCTGAATTTTGCATCTGTCAAGAACCAATTTATAATATGATAGTCCTGATGTTATTAAATTATCTTATTTTTTGGGGGGGGAGCCATTTTGGCACTAAAAACAAAAGATTTCCACCCCCTTTAAAACCAAATCTTCAAACATGCTCCTAAGAGCTTCACAAAGGGTGTATTGTATAGGATCAACTGGTGTATATAATTGCCAATGAAAATTATGACCTTAGTGCTAATGCTGTGATTTGTACACTGATATTCAGTGCCACATTAGAGAAAATGAAAGAACGACTTATCATTCCAAAGGATGGCATCTCAAGCTGTCCTCCATTTCTCATACTAGTATGGTAAATACCTTTTTCCGATATGACTTCTGGTGGATGACACAGAAAGCAGAAATTTGTCAGATGTAATGGTGCCGAGATCAGCCACAGAAGACCTTTTCCCATATTGCCTTGATAATCTTGAAGCTTCACACTTCTAATCAAACATCTTTTTTTTTTTAAAAAAAAAAATAACCTTAGTGGAGAAGTTGACATCTGTGTCTCTCTCTTTCAACTCTTAATAGGTTTGTTGCAGATAGATATAATTGGCTTACAATGTACAGTTGTCAAAAAGAATCTGTCCAAAAGCTCTCCATAATTATTAAGTTTAAAAGGCGCGGGGGGGGGAAGCTTTAACATACTTGCTTAGAACTGCTTTATGTTTTGGGAAATGATAAAGAAATAGCAAATTTGAGGGGAGGGGCTCACGTTGTACAATTAATAATCAAACAAGAATTGTACACCTTTCTTTTCAGGGTTTCAATGGTACTTGGTTGGGTGAGATAGATTTCTTATCATTATCCTCAAATAGTTAACAAATCAATATAGATTAATCAAGCCAAAAGAAGATAAATGATGAGGTGAAAAATAAGGAAATATAGTTTGAGTATTTGCTGAGAAGGAGAATTATAACTCAGGGCATAAATTAATTATATCGCAAGATGATATATACAGGCAGAGTCTGACTGCTGAGTTTTATACTGCATATTTTTAATTCAAAATGAATATGGGTAATACATATCTTATATATCATATACACACTTATGGATCTATATAAAACTTTATAGTGCTCTTTCTCACCCATTGTATTCAATATGAATCAGTTCCTATAACTCTCCAACAGAGATAGGCACACAAAAGTTCTTTGTAGTAGATCACCCTATCTCTAAATTATTGTTTCTTGCTGATCTTCCATTAAAATTATGATTGTCTCATCGCCACAATTCATCCACTCTCTCCTAGCCTTCTTAGATGCAGGGCTCATACTAATTCATGTAAGCAATGGAAGATCCAATTATTTAAGGATTTAAGCTTTACTTGGATGTTATTGCTGGAGACTGGAGGAGGAAAACAATTGATTGGGCCCAGATTCTGGATCTTTAGCCCCTGCATCAATGTACAATGGTGAATTGAGACTCTAGAACAAAAGATGACTCAAGCTGATTAAATGATCCTCTCACCCACCCCCACCCCCATCAACAAGATAAGTTTCAATCTGTGATTTACCAAAACTAATTCATTCAATGCATGACCATATCTTTGTACTTCTAGTAGGTAACAAAAACAAATGGCTGGTGGTCTGGAACAGTATTCATCAATCTCAATACTTTACAATGGGTGGACCACAAACATCTAGGGAATTATGGGAGTTGAAGGTCACCTAGCTTAAATTTTATGAGGTTGAGAGATATTGCTCCAGACCCAGAGCACACAAGTACATCAGACCTTCAGATAGAAGAGCAAATTAAATGGGAATCAGATACCCATTTAATCTCCTCTACATTTGAGGGATCCACCAAGCATTTTCGGAAGGGATTAATCTATTCGTTCCCCCTTTCTTGCAGGATAAAGAAGTCAACCTAGAGCAAGTCCATCGGCGTATGAACAGTTTAATTGATGAAGACTTAGCTCACAAGCAACTGTCCCCCGCCTCCATCGAAATCTCAGCCTTGGAGATCGGTGGCATGTCATCCAGCCAGGCCCTGGAGCCTGTCCGTGAATATCAGAACACACAACTTTCTGTCACCTCTTTTTTACCCGAACAGACAGGCCATGGGGGCAGCAGGACACTCTCTGGGGCTTCTGTGAGCAACCTGCCCCTGCCACTGAGCAGCTCCGCCACAATACCCTCAATGCAGTGTAAACACAGATCGCCAAACGGAGGACTATTTCGCCAGAGCCCTGTGAAGACCCCCATTCCCATGTCATTCCAGTCTGTGCCGGGCGGGATCATTCCAGAGGCCCTGGAACCTTCCCATGGAACATCCATATAAAGGGAGTCATTGACCAGCAGAGATTTTTAATACAACAGGGGGGAAATTTAAAAATAAAATAAAAAGACTCTTACATTTTTCTTGTACATATCTGTAAATAATGAAAGAATGAAGTGGGGTTAAAAAAAAGTGTATTTTGAATATTCCCAATTTTCAAAGTCAGTAAAAAACAAACAGACAAAAATACAAAAAAAAGGAAAAAAAGAAAGAAAAAAATGTACGAAAGACTTTGTAAATTTTGTTCTCTATGAATAAAAAAAAGGCAGAAGAACTTGTGACTGTTCTCAAGTGACAAAGACAACCTTTATTGGGACCAAAGGCAGGAAAAATGTCTTTGGATTTTAACAAATGGTACTTTTTGTTTCCCTCCCAATGTTTATTTTGATTTCTTGTTTTGGAAGCAGGGGCAAGTAACGCTTCTTGAGAATGGGGTCAGGGGAGAACCTTTCTACTTATTTTTCTCTTGTATTTGCTATTCTCTCATGCTCATAGCTCTTCTGAAAGCTTAACAGGGTGGGTACCCCTGAAATGTTAATACCATGCTGGTAATAAATGTGGGATGGCCAAGTTTCCTTGCTGCAATTTAACAATGGGTAGTTTTGAATGATAGCATCGATCCTTGATCCATTCTGAAATATATTTGGTTGGTGCAGAAGTATCCTTCATATAGAGGAAAAGTCTGAGTTGCTGAGTGCTATCAATAACCAATGTTCATCCTAATCTCAGTTAAATAAGCTTCCAACAATGTCACTGAAGATACAGTGAAAACAAGTATAGGAGACCTACAAGCCAAGTGTTTGCTTTCAGATATTTCTCTTCATCCATCTAATTGGTAGATGTCCAAAGGGTTTCTGGTCCAGCTGAGATGGGGGGATATATATATTAAACTTTTGTGGTTTATGATGAATGTGCAAGTTACTGCCAATATGGCTAATCAGAATTATTTTTCCTCTTCCTCATCCATTTAGTCGTACAGATATAACAAAAATGAATTATGGCTTCAGTTGAATCAAGGGCTGAGCAATTTTTCAAGCTTGAGTTCAGTGATATGGTCAAATTAGACGGCAATTTGTTTTGTGTTTGAAGATTTATTATGGATTAGGGACAGTTTTGAAGAAGAAAGTGTAGTTCAAAATGTTGTACTTATAATCAGGGAACATTAGTTTCCTTTTCCACTTTCCCATGGATTGGACTATACACACATTTCAGCATAGCACTCAACATAATGCTGAATTCTCATTCCTTCCATTAATATTTATATAGGCTTTGCTGCCAATTTCATGTGATGCATCCACAATTCTCAAAATCACAGGGATGCTGTGGGATACTTTAAAGTACTAATTCAAGGTAATTTTGGTCTAGAGCTGTTATGAAAAAAATACGGAAAAAAATATTGAGCCTGAACTGAGAAAGTTTGGGATAGGTTATCATTAGTGTGATACAGAATAGATGAAATGTCTTCATTTGATGTGTGAGATCTCCAAATAGGACAGCCTTTGTGACCATCAACTTTTAAATCCATATAGTCAGGGAAAGGAAGGAAGGAAGGAAGGAAGGAAAGAAGGAAGGAAGGAAGGAAGGAAGGAAGGAAGGAAGGAATGAATACATGGTCCAAGGATACTTCTCCCAAATCCCTTCACCATATTGCTCCTGTTTACTCTCCTTCACATCTCTCAGGCCTTATCAACACAAACTGCTGATCATCTGATACAATTCTGACAATTTCAGCTGCAGCCATGTAAGTACACCCTAAAACAATTAAACAAAGTCACTCTCCTATGTAGATCATTCAACCTCACCAGGTTGAACATGAAGTGTTCCCACTTCCTTTATTGCAGTCCAAAGTGGTGTGTGGCAAAAGAAGACTTGTAGTTTTCTTAAGCTTTTCATTTCAATGACCACCACCTGGTTCTCTCTTTCCATGTCTGATATAACATTACAAGACTAATTCCAGAGTGAACTGTATACAGCAGAAGACATTTATCTGAGTTAAGAGCACTGCAATGCTCTTAATGTCAACTGTTTGTTTATTTGTACAGTTTCCTCTGAAACACCACCATAGCATATGCATGTATCGCAACACACCGACATGCACAGAGACCACTTTCTCAGTTTATAGTAAATAATTTAAAAGAGAAAAAAATGGTGCTTGAAAAATCCAGTTAACCTGAATCTCCACCCAATGGGTCTTTCAATCTTGGCCACAGTTTTTCATAATTCATGGCTATTTGCAGATTCACACTGCTATTGTCTTCCAAGGGGAAATTAGCTGCAAGATTAAGCATGAATATTAAGATATCAGCTATTGCTTTCAACCAAAACACAAGAATGCGTTATTTTGGCTCTGCAACCAATATAAGTCATGTAAAAATATATATCTTCCTCTTTCCATATTGAGGTGGATGGCACTGTCATGGGGAAAAAAATACAAAAAAAGTACAAGAGGAAGAGATAAATTTGACTGCTCAAATGCTGAAACACTTGTTAGAGGCCTTCAAGCTTTATTATAGCTAAATACACAATGGCTGCTTCTGATCTGAATTTCCCAAATATATTTCAACTGTTTGTGCAAAGGAGAAACTAATAAAGTACTAATAATGCTTTATCTTTTAGCAATGTCCTATTGCAGTCATTAAGGAAGGCTTCAGTTAAAGCAGAACAGGATGAAATAGTTTTCTCAGAAGCCTTGAATAAAAGTTTTAGTATCTGCATTGTAGAGTAAATTTTCAGTTGCCCCGGTTCAAGTCAGACACTGTAGCTTATTATACATCTAGAATGTGATCTAGATTTCTGTATGATCCATTTTATCATTAATTTATCTGTGTATTTATTTAGTCACCATTTGATTCTGTAGGGATCAAAGAGATGATGATGAAGACTTATAAAGTGAGATCAGCTCAGAAGTAGGATGGCAATGTAAGTGTAGTGATTTGATCTATATCATTGCCAGCTTTAAAACAATTTGAGTGGGAATTGAGCCCTCTGTTTCACAATCACATGTGAAAATACTTTAACAGGCTAGACCTGAGATCCATGATTCACAAAAGGCTAAAGTGCTAACCCAATTCTGGGCAGCATAAGATGAAGAATGATATGACAGACATGTGAAATGGTATTCTCAGCATTTAGCTGCAGAGGTTTCATTACCCAACTAGGTAACCTCATCTGTGTTAGAAGGGAGTGGAGTTTGCTCTCTGTTCATCTACTAGTGACTTGCCCTGTCAATGTTGGCTGTGATGATTTTGATAGTTCCTTGATTAGATAGTTGTTTACAGTTTGATTATTCACCTGAGTAGGTAGTTCCTGGCAATAAGTATTGTTTACTTTTTGATTGTTGGCCTAGTTGATGTCTATTTCTGCTCATCTGGGTGTTGATTGCTAGTTAGGAGGTGTTTTGGACTTTTATCTTAATCAAGGAACCACCAAGAACACTCTCATTCTGTACTGGGGAGATCCCACTCCCATTTCAAGAAAGGTATTGACAGGAAGAGAGCAGTCCAGATGGTACTATAGGGCAGTGTTTTTCAACCTTTTTTGTGCAAAGGCACACTTTTTTCATGAAAAAAATCACGAGGCACACCACCATTAGAAAATGTTAAAAAAATTTAACTCTNAACAATTATTAGCAAAGGGATTTAGATGTCCTTGCCCAAATGAATTCAGACATAAATTTGGGTGCTTTATTGAAAGTGAGCAATTGTAGCAATTTATGAATGAAGGCTTGGAGAGAATTCTTTTTGTGGCCTGCCAGTGGTCAGCAGAGCAGGCAGCAGATTCGGACAGTGAGGAGGTTGGGGAGGAACATGGGCCAGTCCTGGAGTCTGGGGAAGGCTCTGAAGAGGGCTCTGTGTCAGAGGCAGAGAGGGGGCCAGGGCCGTCAGACAGTTATCAGCTGCCTTTGGAGTTGGAGATCAGTGGGGAAGAAGAACAGCTGGAGCCTGTTCCCTGTGTGTGCATGCACAGAGCTGCCAGATGAAGGGAACAGCTAAAGAACAAGGACTGACTTGGGAGGAAGGCCACAGATGGACAATGAATGGCCCTGTCCACAGGAAATAAAAGAGGAGCGAAAGGGGAGTAGAGTTTGCAGGAGGCAATTACTTCGCTTAATTGGTTCGTGACTCTCCTAGACTCCTTACCAAGTTTTGCAGATATCGGCCTGGCAGCTCTCCAAGCCAGATAAGATCTGTGACCGTAAATGTAAATGGATGTAAATGAGCAGAATTCACAGTAAATTATTAAAAGGGTTTTTTTGTTGGGACAAGGAGTTTGCTTAATGCTCTTAGGAAGCCTCAGTCAGAACAGTTTTGTTGCCAAGATCTTGACAACACAACACAACACATCTCAACAGTGCACTTATCTCATTAACTCTGAGGTTATAGGTGTGTATTTGTCAAATTGACCCATAGTGGATCAACACACTCATCTTTTTTCCTGCATGCAAGCATATTTCAGTGAATCATGCCCCATTATTGTCAAAGTTTGTTTTTAGACACAAACCTTTAATGGAAAGAGCTGAAAATGTTTTCTAATTATGGCCAGGTGTGAAATCTTGTTTTTTAATTTGAATACAGTAGGCAATTTTTAAAATGCAAATAGAGGCCAGATTAGCTCGGATCCACCATACAGTATATCAAGCTGTGGGCTTTTGCAGTTACGGTTCATTCTTGTTTGCACAGCCTCCTAGTTTGTTACGTGTCAGCCAGTCTGATCTCTAAACACAAACATGCAAAACTTTTTATTATGCAGCCTTTTTTAATTGTTTGATTTGTTACATGCAAATTGGTTCTTCGGTAGCCAAATGCCACCTTAATTAGAAAAAAAAGGATTTTGAAACTTGGCCCCTGGCGCTCCCATTAGCTACTTCAAACAGTCTGGAGATGAGTTTTTTCAGAGTAGTCTTAGCTCTATTATTGATGCATATATTAATTTATGTATAGTATTACAGTGTGCAAACAGAGATAGAAATAAGAGGAGAATATTCTTTTCCAAGAATAGCAATGAATACCAGGGCTTTTAGAAGAGAGGGCTGTTTTCACTTAATGGCAGCTGGTAATTTTTCGCAGTTCTGGGCAATAGCATGGAATTAAGGCAAAGATTATCGAATTGTCAAAATAGAACGGGACAGAAAGATGTCATTGTTTAACGTTTGTGTGTGTAGCTGTGGGGAGTTGGGGGTTGGGGTGTGTGTGAAGCTTAGGTTTTCCTGGGAATTGAACCAGC